AAAACAAATTATACATACATTTTTATGTATTTTATGGTGTAATAAATAATGATATTATTATTTTTTTACAAAAAATTATCACAATATTAAATATTAATCACTTCATTAAATAAAAATTTTCATCAATAAATTAAATGCTAAAACAATTTAAGTTTTAAGTACATTATAGCTGTATGTATATATATATATATATATGTGTGTGTGTGTGTATGTATATGTGTGTGTATGTATGTGTGTGTATGTATGTGTGTGTGTATGTATGTATGTATGTATGTATGTATGTATGTATGTATGTGTGTGTATGTATGTATGTATGTGTGTGTGTATGTGTGTGTGTGTGTAAAACTTAAAGAGAGATTACATAATTATTTAATAAATAAATTTTAATTATGTAATAAATATCAGATAATTATATTTGTTTATAATACTATCATAATATATGTTTGTGTGTGTGTGTGTGTGCGAAACAAAACTAAAAAACTAACTGTCCTTATAATAGTTATTGTTGTCATCATCACTAGTAGTAGTAGTAGTAGTTGTAGTAGTAATCAATGTTATTGACATTTGCATAAATGTTGGTATTATTGTCGGTATAATTGATAATAGTATTGTTGTCACTGCCGATGACATCAAAACTATTGTCACATTTTTAACTAAACCAGTAATAAGTTTATGCAACAAATACAATGCAATTGTGAACAGTATGGCAGTGAAACTGGCTATGAATGTTACCAACGATAGGCACAGGTAGGCTATTATGTAGGAAAAGTTGTTGTTAGTGTTGTTGTTGTTGTTTTTGTTACCTATAGTTTCATTGGTATTATTATTATTACTATTGTTTTGATAGCTGCCGTCGTCACCAGCGATAGCTGATCTATGTTTGATAATTAGATCCAGGTTTCTGACACCACTGGGCACTGGTATATCATTAACAGATACTTTTGTATTACTGAACTCCAGTTTTAGATAACGATTCGGATTATCTATTAATTCAAATGCAAAAAAAATGTGATAAAATAAATGTTAAGATTAAGATTTACCGGAAAAAAACATATTATATAATATATACTAATATATTAAAAAACTACTAACTCTTAAACAAATCAAACAAACTATCGATAAACTGTCGGTTTATTTCAAAACAGTCGTCAACACAACAATGTCTAAGTGTTGGACAGTTAGCCAATAAATTGCCAACAAATTCAGTACCATTGAAACCGGGAAAACCTGCTATCGACAAATACTGGAGCTCCAGTTTCGATAGTTCCCGTAGTCCCTGAGCGGTAAAGAAATAACTGCCCGGACCTATAGTCAGATGACTGAGCCGTTTATTATTATTATTATTACCGGTAGTATTATTATTGGCATTACTGGCGACCAGTTTTCTGAACAATGTGTTATCAAAAATCGAGTCGCACCAGACATCGCAAGTGACGGCCAATCGGGTCAGTGCCGGACATCCCTGTGCTATAGACAGTAACTGACCGGATGTCATAGTAGATGAGCCATCGTTTGAATTAATCTGTAATTATAGTATTGATATTGTATTTAAAAAAATTATTATTATTTAGTTGTTTTCTATGATACTTCAAACACACACACACACACACACACACACACACACACACACACACACACACATACACACACACATACACACACATATACACACATATACACACATACATACACACACATACATACACACACATACATACACACACATACACACACATACACATACATACATACACACACATACATACACACACATACACACACATACACACACATACACACACATACACACACATACACACACATACACACACATACACACACATACACACACATACACACACATACACACACATACACACACATACACACACATACACACCTCTGATATCTTTAGCACTTCCAGTGATTTAAGTGCAGAAATACTTGTAAACAGTTGGTCGTAGTCCTGATAGATGAACAATGGTTTCATAAAAGTGATGGACAGTCGTCGGATACGCTGAAATGCCGACAATGAGGTCAGTTGACCGGCAAGAAACAGTTGAATATGTAGCTCAACGAGTTGCTGGCCGACAGCACAAGTGGTCAGTGTGTCCAATACAGGATTGATCGGTACTTGATTGTCGTTGACCAATCGCGGGCCTAACTTAAGCACTCGGACACTGGCCGACAATCGATGAAAAATCTCCGGTCGCCTAATGTTATTGCCTCTGATGTCCAGCGACTGGAGCTGCCGAAAGCCGTCCACAATGATAGCCAATGGACGGTCATCGAGATCACAGTCGCGGAGCGTCAAATTGGTTAGCTGTTGACCGTAAGCGGTGACCAATTGGTGCCAACCTTTTTCGGTAACACTAACGTATAGGAAGTCATCGGTTCGGTTACGACCTATTTATAACAGGAAAAAAACATTATTATTATTATTATTATTACCGATAATTTCAAATTGATTTTCACTAAATTCATACATACCTAAGCCATCGCATAATGAAAACGATAGGGATCTGAGTTCAGGACACTCACTGACCAACTGTCCGATCATCGGATCGTTCCAGTGATCAAAGCCGACAAACGACAGTTGCCTGAGATTCGGGAATCGGGTCATCAGGTTTGTGAATGTTGTGTATCGTATGTAAAACGATGGCCACATAATTGTCTGGTCGTCATTGTACCGATAGTCTCTATGTCGACATCGATGGTGATGATGGGATTGTTGATAATGATGGTTGTCCTCTACTGAGTAACGGTTAACAATTGTTAGCCGATTTTGTGCCAAAAACAAGTGGTCGCTACATGTTCGCCACGACCGACACACGCGGCCACTGGACGCTCGGTCCCGGACCGATAGGTGACCTAATATTTTGGTCACACAATCGGTGTTCAAATCCATTAATGATTTGTGATTTTTTAAAAAATATTTTTTTGAAGTAATTATATTATGATTACATAATATTATATCATTTTTTTAAATATTAAAAGTTGTTAATTAATAATAATAATAATAATTATTATTATTAATTATTAAATAATTATAATAAAAAAATAAGTTTTTTTCGATAACTTATGATATTAATAATGACTTTATTATTTACATTATATTTTTATAATTAATTTATTATTATAAGATTTTTTTGTTGCAATAATATATAAAAATATTGATTAATCAAAAATTAATTACAAAATTAATTTTATGATGATTTTTTTTTTGAAAGTTAACACAATAAATAAAAATTTATATAATTAAAAATTAATATATAATATAAATTTACACCGTATAACAATTATATAACAATTAAATATAAATCTATATTAAAAAAATTTTGATTGGTTTTTATACCAGAATATTTTAAAAAAAAATCATTTATTTATATTTTGTTGTTGTTTTTAATTTTTTTAATCAAAATATTTTGGCGATAAAAAATTTATAGACAATATAATAGATTAAAACAACAAAAAACATGCCTTCAATAGTCATATTTGTTGATTAAATAAATACACACAAACATAAAAATTAAATAAAATTTAAATAAATTTTTTAATATATATATATATTAAATAAGTTTATATAAACTAAAATAAAAACTTATTTATTGTCTTTTTCATCATCAATGATGACAACGCACTGTTTAGGTGACGACGACTACGACGGTATGACCTTTTTTTTCGGTGGTGGGGAACGATAGTATAGATCGAGATATACATATTTTTTGGGGATAAGGGGTCGTCAATCTTCAATATATATATATTTTTATATTAAGTAGTTTACAGTTACTTCCCATAACAGTCCCCTCATATAACAGGTTAAGATTTAGAGAGAGAGAGAGAGAGAGAGAGAGAGAGAGAGAGAGAGAGAGAGAGAGACTACACTAAAACCAGGAACGGTACCTAAACCTGTTAGTCATTATATTATTATTATTATTTTAACTATTATTATTATTGTTGATTACAGTGCAGTAATACACTATTATCACTACCGGTTAGGGCGAAAAAAAATGTTATATAACTTTGTAGACAATGTTTGTTTGTTTGTTTTTGAATAGCCGATAATTATTTTTTTAAATTTTTTTTTTAAAATAAAATATTTAATTGATATTTAATTTAATAAAATATTGTATAATTAACAATACAAACCATAAATAGATTATTATTTGTTGTTGATATTATTGATAATTGCATAATTATAGATTATTTAATAATAATAATAATAATAATTTATTATAATTCAATAAATATAATTTAAATTTTTTAAAAAAAAAAAACGTAAAACTAATAATATATAAATAAAATTAATCACAACAAAAATTATTTTTTTTTATTTAATTACTGTATAATTTTTTTACATTAAATAATATATTTGTACTGTTATTTATTCTGTATTAAACATATGTTATACTGTATTATTATTATAATAATTATTATTAAAATTTATGACATCAATTAACACATATTTATAATAATTGAAAAAAATTGAATTCACATATAGTGTATAGTAGATTGAGAGAAAATAAAAATTATCATATAGTTTTCATCAAATTTTTTGTTTTAGCAATAATTGTAAAAATAAAAATTATAATAACTTATTTTTTTTTTTAAAAAATAAAATCAATTACCGGTAATTTATAATAAATAACAGTATTATATATATATATATATAGTAAGGAAAGGCACTAATTTGACAATTAGTATTAAATTAGGTGTTTATATTGATTTACATATTACGATAGTGTAATAATAATATAACTACCGGTAAATTATGTATCACTTATTAAAGTGTGTCTGTCTGTATGTACAGTCATACTGTTGTATATATATATATATATATATATATATATATAATTAATTAATGGACAGTTAGTATACAAAATATTATATAACAGATTGTTTTGTTTTTATACAGTTTAATATACGGTAATAATCTCAATATATTTTCTACGGTATCAATTGATTAACATATTACGGTAATAAAAAAAATATATATACAATACTTTATATCATATACTGTATATAAATTAAAAAATCAATCTGGAATGACATCAACCAGGGGGTGGGGGGAGTGGCGGCGGGAAACTAGACATCCCGGTGCTAACTGGAGGTGTTAACTACCAGCGCTCGACGATGACGACGACTCCTGTGACGAGTGAAGCTGTTGGTGATGATCAGTAGCCGAGCCGGTAATCAACAAATTATTATCGTCGGCAGCGGTGGCAGTCGTTTTTGGTCCACATTTTGCCGATGACTTTCGCGATGATGATGAGTGGCAACGGCTGGGTTGTTGTTGTTGGTGGTGGTGGTGATAGGATTCAGGACCCGACCATAGGTGCAGCAAATCGTTTCGATACCAGGCGATCAACAGCGGCGGTATCATAGTAAACGGTACCAGATATAGGAGGGCCGGCTGTGCGCTACCGCTCATCAAATACAGTCCTATTAAGATTAAGATATAGATATTTAACTGTCTGTCCCCACATACACATACACACAAAATACACGTACCGGCAAACGTAGCAATCAGACCGACTCCGTAACCAATACAAGTGGTCAGATAGTAGACCCGATACTTGATATTTGCAATCAAATCGAATGAATAACAATAGGCTACCAGTAGTCCGGGCACCAGTATGTCGCCGAAACCGAGCAACGAATCCGATGTACCGTAGCAGACGTCCATTGGCGAACTATCGTTACGCGGCTTGAAGATATTGTGCGGTACACGCATAACCATCGGTATGGTTTCGCCGGGTGTACCGCAACGAGATTTGCCGCCCGATCCGCCAGTGGCCACGTCTACCATCACAGAGTTGCCTTTAAATCAAAATAATATATAACAACATTAGTGATGATGAAATCAATATTAAACATATACAGAGGAAGGGAACGGGAGGAAAGGGGACGGGTGTCTATACCTTTTGATGTGATCAATGGTGTAATGAATACGAAAAATATGTCGTAGAAGAACAGTGCCGACAATAATATCACACATATCTTATAGGAGGGCAGTCGTATCGTACGTAACATATTCAGACTAAAACATACGCCCAACCAGTCTTGCAATAGCCAAGCGTATGGCTGGCGTCGGACAAAATACCATGTGATGGCCACTGTAGCCGCTATGATCAACAATAACAGCTGATAGTAATACATTTTACCGCATCGGACATTGCAAACAATAAACGATGGCCGCGTAAAACGGTCGGGTAATACCCGTACGATCAGTGGCTCGAAACAGGCAAACAGTGAGCCAATGGAGGCCAGTATGAACAGGAAGATGATTACGTAGACCAGGTATCGGTAGAAAAAGTATAGCAAACATAGCATGACGGCCATCATTAGGACAAAACAGAGTACCAATAGGGGCGACAAATTGATAAACGCTTCCTCGCCGTCCAGTGTAGCCGGCTTTTGTGTATCGGCGGTGTCAGCTGAGTCGGCTATAATGGGGGGGAAAGAGTTTTATGAGATAATTGTCCAGAAAATTGATTGATGGCTTACATTTGGCCACTTTGGTAGCCAATTGTTCCTGAGTCGACTGAAATATACGGAACCGTACACTACCTGACCAGTAGGCGCCCATCGTTACGGTAAACGTGGCCAACAGCCATATACATAGTATAGAATAGTCGAAAGCGTAGCCGACGGGATCCGCGGCCAGTTCGTATAGACGGCACTGATAGCGCCGCTGTTGATGATGATGATGATAGCGACCGCCTGAAGTGGTCGGCGATTTTAGCATCTGGTCGACACTGGACTGTGATATTAGTGCAACTGGAAAACGATTGGCCCGTAAGGTATCGCGTGTTATGTTTACGGCCGCGTCGATATCGAGCGCACATCCGACGGACACCAACAGTGCCGCAATGGCCGTACCGTTGAAATAGTCGATCTGTTGGTTGATATCGCAGTCGCCAGAGTACTGGATAAGTACGGTATGATTGGTCATCAGCGGGTCGACGATAGCCGACAGGTCGCAAATATCTTTTTGCTGATCATAGAGATCGGTATACAGATCGTGCCAGTGGCCGCGCGACTGATTGCGGGTCGAGTCGCGTGTCCAGACATAGTCGAGTACACAAAATCGGCGATTGGTTTCGGTAATCGGGTCGCGAGTCTCGATCAGATTGGTATACATATCGGCCCGTTGTTGTTGTTGGTTGGGTTGTTGCCGCCGCTTTTGGTCGTTGATGGCCAACAACGAAATCGGCGGCTTATCGGAAGGCGTAGTCTCAGCCATAGATATGATGGCCAACAATGCCATAATAATAACAGTGACCGTAGTAGTGGCCATTATCGGTAACCGTTTGGCCGACGCTGATGATGACGACAAATACATGACCTAATAATAATAATTGACTGCAGTATCGGTAATATATCAATGGACTACTTGTTTGTGTGTGTTGTTATGGACCGGTGATATCACTGGCCACCACCCGATTGTGTGGTCACTAATAATAATAATAATAATTAATTATTATTATTATTATTATTATTACAAAACAACTGTTATATCATTAATGACAACACAATAGCAACACATTGTTTGTTATTTAAATGTTTTTTTATTTAATTATTTATTTATACACTAATACAACACTAGTCTATAAAAAAAAATGTTTAATACATTATTGCTATGCATTTACTGTGTGTTTGTGTACTACTGTATTAAACGTTTATTAAGACACTAGTGTTGTATGTGTTTTTTAAAAATGTCAAATAATTTTATAAATACAATTAAATACAAATAATTTTTTTTATATATAATAAAGTTATTTAAATTTTCAATATATATTTATTTATTTATTTAATAGTAATTTAAAAATAAATAATATATAAATTAATACAAATAAATCAACACTTAATATTAAAAAAAATTATTAGATTAAAATAATAATATTTAGTAATTATTAAATAATCCTGTAAATAAATTCAAATAAATTCAAATTAAATTAAATAAGCTAGATAATTTTAAACATGATTTCATAAATATTATTTTAATTTAATTTAATAAAATTTCATTGAAATTTTTTTAAATATCTTAATTAAGTGTAACCGTAAATCTATAATTAATTAATTAATATAATAATTTTTTTTTTAAAAAGTTTATAAATATAAACTAAATGTTATTTTTAAAAAATCTATTAAAATTAATAACAACATTATTTTATTATTTACTATTAAATTGACTAAATAAATGCACATGTATTACAAAAAAAAATTACTTTTATAAGTAAAAAATAATAGTATTTATTTTGTAGCCTTGGTAACTTATTTTTTTATCAAATATATATCATATATATTAAATTTAATATGAATGTGCTAAAAACAAATAATAGTGTAAATAATAAGTCAATATTTTTTTAAAAAATAAATAAATTTATTATTTTAGTTAAACCCTAAACCAATATCCTTAAAGTTTTTATAAAATAAAAAAAAGTTTATATTATTCATTGATTATTAATGTTTAGATTAATTTTGTTTTTTTTCAAGTAAATCATTATTATTTTGTTTTTTTAAATTTATTTAATATCGTCATCATATCTACTGTTTAGTCAATTTTATTAATAATATACACCTATTTTTTTAGGTGTATGACTACTTGTACTGTATATACTGTGTGTATGTGTATGTAATGTCAGTATACAATAAATTCAACAGTTATTCAATAGTTAATGTAAATAAAAACCTAAAAATGTAATGTGAATCACATGTATATTATTATAATGTATTGCAATTTGCAATACCATTACTGTTAGTATTAATGGCTTAATAATAAAAAAAAAATATTTAGTGTAATATTTAGTATTAATTAATTAATTAATAAACATTAATTAATTATGTAGCATAATAAATATATTTATATATATAAATTATTTTTAAACTATTGTCAAAAATTAACTACTAAATTGTATGTAAGTTTTTATTTGGTGCATATTTATTATATTGCAAAAAAATAATATATTGTTTATTATATATTAAATATTTAGTTTATACATACACTACAAAAAAAAAGAGTTTATATTATTAGCTAAAAATAGATAACTTTTCTCCAGATACCCATCCCATAAACTACCGGTGCCATTTAATAATCACATATTACTGTAGTATATAGTGGCCTCAATTAAACCATTGACCCGCGCGCGGTGCGCCCAATTAGCCACCGAGGATCTAACCTAACCCCGGGTTTCATCAGTCACCTAACCTAAACCCGATAGCATCGGCAGCTTTTAGGCTACGGGCGCAATGGCCTCGCCGTCCAGCGATGACGAGTCCGATCATCCGACCAGTGGTCAACAATTTGGTGCCGCACTGGTGGCCGGCCTATCCCAGGACAACATATTCTACTTGGCCTACGTCTGCATACAAGTACTGGGCATTTGTATGATAACATTGTGTTCAGTTTGGACACACCATCACTTGTCCGGCTATTCGTTAGCCACACCCGAACAGGTATTCAACTATCATCCCTTACTGATGACCATCGGTATGATTGTGCTGAACGGGAACGGTATGTTATAACTACAATATACTGTATATACCGATATAACTAATCCCGGGATGTTGTTGTTGTTAGCACAGGTATCCTAATCTATCGGATCAGCCGTTGGTTGCGTTTTCAGCGCCAAAAATTGATACACTTTTCCATCCAATTGTCTGCACTAACCGTTTCGGCGGTCGGACTCTACGCTGTCTTTCACTATCATAATGTCCGGCAAATACCTAACATGTATTCATTGCATTCATGGCTCGGCATTACAGCTATCGCTGGTTTTACGGTCAGTTTGTTGACCGCTTTTCTAGCCTTTCTATATCCCGGTTTTCATCCGGTTTATCGGCGACTAATATTGCCGTTTCATATATTCAACGGTACGGCCAATATTGTACTGTCGGCTTCGGTAGCCATTACTGGTCTAACCGAGAAAGCGCTGTTCAGTTTGTAAGTAAAAGTTTGTTTGTTTTTTTTGTGTGAACTTTCCGTATGAAACTAAACTTATTATTATTTTTGAATTAATTTTTTTATATATTAGACAGACTCCCGGTGCCAAATATAGCGATCTACCGGCGCCAGCTATGCTCATCAACTTTATGGCCATTAGCATAGCCGTGTTTACCGTACTGGTCGTATGGTTGGTCACAAAACCCGAGTTTAGGCGCCGTTATATACCGTCGGTCAATGCGCCGCAGTATAAGCTAAGACGGGAGCAGACCATCGAGTGATTGATTGATTGATTGATTGATTGATTGATTTATTGGTCACCAAAAATAAAATATGAGTGAAATAACTATTTATTTATTTAAATTATTAGATATTTATTTAAACCAAAAATAAAAATATTAATAATTTTATACATTATTTAAAAGCTATTACAATATAAGTTATATATCGATACATAATATTTATTAATTAATTTATACTGTATTTTATATTGAAATACAATAATAATTAAATTGTTATATTATAGATATTTTAATTGTATTAATGTTTACAAAGCAATTGCATATTATATTTCATTGAAATTATGATTTTTTTTTAAATTTTATTATTATATGATATTATTTTTTTTATTATAAACACTTTTCTATTATAATTATTTGCAGCTATAATTTTTTTTATATAATTTATTTTATTAAAATATTTTTTTTGTTATAATTATAATATTATTTAATACATTAATTGAATTTAAATAATAAAATATTATACAGTATTTATTTTCATTATCATCGAATTGTTTATGTAATATATATACTGTATATATATAGCTATTGAAATTATAATGACAATTATAAATTAAAATATATATTATTATATACAAAACATACTAATATTTATATTTTTATGAAAAATTAAATTTATTTATTGATAGTTTTTTTTGAAAAAAATATATATTCATAAAATTTCAAAAAAAATATTTAATTAATTTTTTCATAATATACTGTATAATATATATATATATATACATTATGTAAATTATTTCAACAAAAAAAACAATTTAATTGTTTTATTTTTATTGTTGAATATCGTTTTGACATTTTTTCGATGAACTAACCGCACATTTGCCACCTTTGGGCAATTGGAGGCACTTGTTGTTTTTGATGGTGTTTTTGCAGCCACCCATCCCTGCTTGGTCTATATGATGGATCTATACAAATATATATATATAGTGATATATCAATCAATTGATAAATAAATTATTATTATTATTATGATTACCTCAAAGCCGTTAAGTTTGGGATGAGTTCCCGTATTGTCTTCGATGACATAGGAATCGCCTTTGACGTCCACCCACGAGTCGGCATAATGTATACCCTTTTCGCCCGTACCGTCAAAATGGTTACCTTTGATATGACCACAACACGAACCTTCTTTGATATCCAGGCATTCGGCGGTAACTTCCGGTCCTATCTTATTGTTTAGTATCTTATTTCGGTCACTTTTGTCTTGTTTACCGTCGGCCCAGTTATGAAACTGCACATGTATGCAAAATTTAAAAAACAAAATTATTATATTACCAATCCGTCTATATATATATATATACTGACCGCTTGGCCAATATAAACGCCTTCACCATATCCCTGATCGGTAGTATCGCCGCGACCCGTGTGATGGACGTAACTGTTTTGCAGGGTATTATCTGAACTACTTGTCCTCAAATGGATGCCCTCTTGTTTGATATTATGTACCTCAAGATTGTCCAACAGGTTATGCGATGCCCGTTCCAGTACTATACCTTTTGGCGAGTTGGCCACCGTAAAGCCCTTCAGCTGCCAGTGATCGGCTTTTAGCCACAGGCCGTACTTAGTGCCCGACAGGACTGCTTGACGCGAACCGGTCAGCGTTATCGGTGCCGATTGCGAACCGCTTCGGGTGATGACAAACGAGCCGTGATATGAACCGTCGTGCAGGTGTACACTGTCTCCCGGTTCGGCCGACGACAGGGCCGACGATAGCTGGCCAGCGTTGGACACCTCGTGTGTTTTGCAGTCGGCATTCAACGACAGCAAACATATTGTCATTAGTGATGATATAATCAATAATTTCATTATTGATTTTTATGTTTTTAACGGCTATTTGTTAATTATATATATGTTTAACAACAAAAAATTATTATCAATAAAAATAATATTAACTAATAATATGATATATATTTTGTCAATTTTATTTATACTGAAAATTTATCATATTTTTTATAATATACTTATAATAAATTAGCTTGTTTATTTAACAAAAAAAATCAATTGTTATTAATTTAATTGATTGATTAATAATAATAAATATCCTAATGATAACATTTCTAACTAAATAAATACTATTAATAATAATAATAATAATTGTCGTAAAAAACACTTGTTATTGTTAATTAATATATGATAATATCGATTGAACTCAGTTTCTATGTACTATTAATATATGCACTTTTATATGAGATATAATTGTAAAAAATAATAATTATAATTATTATCTGGATCAATTTGAAGGCTAAAAAAAGTAAAGTTTTTTAATTTACGTTAATATATTTATCATATTATATATATATATAAATATATCGAAATATAATTAATTTATATTGTATTTGTCTCTATAGTATAGACTCTATAATTAGGTGTGAAAATTAAATTAAAAAAATTATCTGTTTTTTTTGTGTGATGGGATTGATATGTACGGCTCATTTAGGCCACAGTTTAGGTATACCCACAGCTATTTGCTATCAAAGATATCCACACACACACATACACACACACACATACCCACACACACACACACACACACAACAATTTATATTAGTAGTATTAAAATATTAATAGGTTGCAGATAAAATAATAATTTTATTTATCAAAAAAAATAAATAATAATAAAAAATATCATAACTTAAAATACAATTAAAATATTATAGCTATACAAATAAGCATTAATGATAAAAAATAAATAATTTAAATTATTTTAGCAAATTTATTATTATTGTGATTTTGACTTTATATATATATATATATATATGTATGATAATAGATCATTATAGTGAGCAATTTAAAATATATATAAATAAATACTTAATTTAAAATATGATCAATAAAAAAATATCCATTAAATAAAACATTTAAATTTCAGTATTAACGATTTTAATTATTAAATGTGTGTTTTGAAAATAAAAATTAATCATTTTTATCTGGAACATTTTTGCGACAGTGTGTAAATATAAATTAATATAAATCTAACATAATATTTAACATAAGTTTAAAATTATAATTAATATATAATTTGTTTTGTAATTTTACAGTATATATACTGTATTAATAATTATATTAATTTTATTTGTTAAATTTGCTAAATTTGACCCGTCTCATAATAAACTCTTTTCTAGCTTGACCAAGCGCAAATTCAGCGGCCTGGATGATTTTATCCTCGTCAATTACATTACAATAGACACAGGGGCAGCTGATCCAGGAGCGCATTTTAGGTGTACCTTAAAAAATATATATATTTTTTTGTAAAAAATATTGACATTATATATTATACATTATATATATTTTTAAACATAAATTTTTTATTTATATAAATATAATATGCTAATATAATTTAGATTAATAATTATAATATTTAAAAGGTTTTAGATAATTAATCTAGGTTATAAAGTAAAATTAATTATTATTATTTTTTTAAATAATTTATAATTTTTTACTTTAATACCATTAATAAATGAAATATTGAATATTTTGTTTATAAATATTTATTAACATAAATATACAGAAAATATATAATTTTAAAAAAATTTTGTTTGTTTTTTTTAAATTACATTATTCATATTTTAAAAAATAATTTTTACTTTAAAAAAATTTATTTGAATTATTTAATTTTAGTATATATATATATATTATAATAATAATTAATAATAACTGTTTATTATGTAATGTTTTTAATTTTTAATAATCTAAATAATAATAATAATAATAATATATATATATATTTTATTATATTTATTGTACAACAAAAATTTGATAATCAATACCTTTATTACTGTCGTCAATGATAGCCAATTGTTTTGATGTCTTATAATTTGTACTTTTTTTATTACTATTATTATTATTACTAGTTTTGTAATAACTATTATTAAATTGTTTTGAATCTCCAATTGTTTTGTTATTATTATTATCATAATATTTATTATTTAAGACATCGATTTTAATTTGTTTATTACTATTATTTTTAGCAATTTTCTTATTATTATTATTATTATTGATATTATATTTTACATTAAAATTGTTGCAATTTTTATTATTCATTATTTTTATATTGTTATTATTAGTATTATTTTTATTAATAATTTTATATTTATTGCCCAACTTTTTGATACACAATTTAATATTATCTCTATTGTTCATAATTTTTTAAATAAATTATTATAAACTAAATAAAATTTACAATACATAATGTTTTTTTATAAATAAAATCTATATATTATTAATTTAAAACTAAACTATTTAATTTTTCTAATATTTAATTAAATAATTATTATACTGTATATATATACTATTAATGTTTTATTAGAGTATAGTTAAATGAGACACTATTATTGCAAAATAATAATAATTATATTATACAGTAATTATTTTAATAATTATTACACAATTATTAATTTAAAAAAACATATTTTTTATAATAAATATAAATTTATTAGAAAATAATTACAATTCATTATTTTTTATTAAATAATATTATATAAATTATAATTATTATTATTAGTTTAGTTTATTTTGTTGTAAATTTTATTATTTGCAAAAAAAAATTATATATTTATATATTGATATACAGTTGTGACACAACATAATATTCAAATATAATTTATATATAAACTGTAGTAATATAACACGTGTAATATATATTTTTATTTTATATATTTAGCTACTATTTTAGTAAAAAAATATTTTATTTTTAATATACAATAATTGTCGTCCAAGTGATAGGTATAGTGTACTGTAGATATCGATCTAACTGTGCGTATAATACAGTATCTACTGATATATACTACTGTTTATGGCTATACCACTAACAATATACTGTGTGTATATTAAAATAAAAAAAAGTAAAACATAAAAAAATGTATACTGTGTATGCAAATTAATATATATATATATATACATATAGATTATATACAGTAGTATAAAACAGCAAAAAATAGGCCACAAAATGTGACATTAGTTTTATTGCAATTATTATTAGTAGTATTTAAATATACTAAATACACGTATGGGGTATTAATAGGCTCATGTAGTTCATTCAAAATTTATGACTATACTATGAAAATAGTAGTATATATATATATTAATAATATATACTKTATATATACAGTATACATGACACAGTGATAATAATAAGTAATAATTATTATAAAAAAACATAACTGTCCCTGATGAATTATCAATGAAGGACAGTCCATAATAGATAATTAAACTGTCTTTCCTTTTAATAGACATACAGTATCTGCTAATATGTGATAATAAAAACTGTATTTATTGTTATAATCAATTGGGAGATAATAAATGTTTATTAATTTTTTTTATTAAATTAGCTTATTATTTGTTAATTTATTATTTGTTAATATTTTTTGATATTTTAAATACAGTATATATATATATAATAATTTTATAACAATATTTAACATTTTAAAATCAATTTTATTTTATTTTTTTTTTTTAATTAAGCAAAATTATTATAATACAACTCATTATTATTAATAATGATAATAATAAAATAATAATAATTAATAAGTTGATTTTTATTTTGCTAATCATTATTATTTTTTAAAAAATAAATCAATACAATCGGTATTATTTAAAAAAACATATATATTAGATGTCAAATAATAATAATAAATTAAATTTTTTGAAAAACATAATGAGTTTATAATAATTACAAAAAAAAAATCAAAATTGAAATATTTTAATTATATTAAATTTTATTAAAATTTAATATATATATAGATCCTAATAAATAATAAATTAATAAATATGATTAGTATTGATAAACAAAAACAAACATTGATTACAAAAAATTATATCATTGTTAAAATTGATGGGATTTTTTTTGTGTCAAAAAATATATATAAATATATATTAATTTTTATATTTCTATTACATTATGATGTTTATGATGGTATACAACATGTTTAATATATTTAAATATTTTTTGTTTTAATTATTATAATAAAAAAATAATATAATACAGTCAATTCATAAATTAGACTTTAATTTTTGTTGTTGTTATACTTTAATTAATTAATTAAAGTCCAATTAAACTAAACATAAAAAATAATACAGTAATAAATTATATTATTATAATATATATACAATATTGTATTCATTATTGTATATTATTAGCAATTATTTAATGAAAATAATTTACATAAATTTGTAAATCAAAAAAAAATATATCATAATAATAATTATAACAATAATTATTAATTGTGTGCTTGAATATGTGTAATATTGATAAAAAAAATTGTTTGGCCCATAAAAATTGTGTCTTAATGTTATTTTAAATAATTATATTATTATTATTATTATTATTGGTTTTTTTAATATATAAATATAAAAAATATACAATTATACAACACATCTTATATTATGATAAATATATAAATAAATAATTATTTTTTTGATAACTATATTATACACATTGTCTTATTAATAATTATTATGAAATAGTTTATACCAATTCAATACAGTTAGACGCGATGATACATAAGCTACTGTATATAGTATAGTATAGTACAGTACATCACCAAACAGTGCACCGGTGTTTTGGGTTAGGGTTCATATAGGAACCGGGCTTACAGTCAAAACTTTGGGCAAACTCTTTGAAGTTACCGAGCGCTACATTGACTCTATATATACATATAAAAAAAATTAAAAAAAATTGAAAATTTAAGTCTCATACACAACATCCCTAACACCCCACCCCCTCCCAAACATACCTGGCCTGTGATGGACTATGAGTATCGGTGTCCAGCCGTGTCTTAAACATCTCCGGCGATGACTTCGAGCACCAATTCTAGGTATAGTAAAAAATATATGAGTTTGTTGTTGTGGGGATGGGAACGGTATGTTGATAATGATGATACAAACCATGGCTGCGCTGATCCAAAACAATTGTTTGGGCGTATATTTAAGACCCGGCAGTTTAAGTTCCCCTCCAATTTTGTCGGCATATTTTTCGTAGGCATTATAGGACTCTTTGAGAGCCCCGTTATCGGCAATGTTTTCCTTGAGTGTCAGATCGCCGTTTATTTTCATACCTGAGCCCATATCCAGATCATAGTTGCTGTACTGTTTGATCATACACTGGGCTTTCGTATTATAATGGGAACGGGTCTCGTTTTTCCACCAGTTCCTTGCGTTACCTAAAAAAATTTAAAATAATAATACAATACAAGTATGTTATTAAAAATGATATTTAATTTTTTTTAAATAAATATATTTTTTAAAATATTAATTATGTTACCTATTTCATCAAATTGTGCGCCAACATTGTCTATATTAAAAAATAAATAATAAATATTTATAATAATAAAAAATTAATTAATTCAAGTTTTTTTAAAAAAATATATATACTTAATATATTGTAATTTTTATAATATAAAATAGTTTTCAATATAGTTGATCATAATTTTAAAGTAATTTTTTTTATGTATTTAAAATTATTAATAATTTTATATCAAAAAACAATTAAGTGTTACAAACAAAATAATTATTTAAAATAGAAAATATTATTTTTTTAACAAAAATATTATCAAAAATATATTTATTTATATACTTCTAATATATTATTAATTAATTAATTATTTTAAAAAATAATAATTACTTAAATTTAATCAATTATTAAAAATAAAATAAAAACTAAATAAATATTATTTCTATAACTCACCGAAAGCATGAGTAATCTCGTGGCCAATAATATAGCCGATGGTCCCGAAGTTGATATACTGTGGCCGATCGTTGTCGTAGAAAACGTCCCGCAATATACCCGCCGGTATGACAATGGCGTTGGCCTGTGACCAGTAAAATGCGTTTACGTTTGCACTGTTAGCAAAGTTACGCCAACTGTTTTATATATATATATATATACCACACCATAGGGGGGGAAATCATACAACATAACCGTTATTATTATTATTATTTATATGTATATTTGAGACAACTATTGATATTTGAAAAAAATACATACTCTTGTGGATCGTTGACCGCCCGGAGCTTTTCGTACTCCCGTTTCTGTGCCCACGATCTCAGCCGACGTATATTCAGATCAAAGTTATCATCGGTTAGGTTCAACTAAATTTGTTTGTTTCGGGGGTGGGGGTGGGGGTGAAAGTCATTATAAAAAATATATATATATATACACCCAATTTGCATTTACCGTTTTATAGTGATCGTTGACCAGCGAATCGTTGGCCAACTGGTGCGGATAGCCGACCACCGCTTTCATGGCCCGCGACTTTTTGAAGGCATTGTGTTTGGTTATGTCGTCCATCCAATCGTTTTTATCTAATATCTCATCGAATTCGGCTCTCAAATAGTTGACCATTTCGGACGACCGTTGTTTGAGTGTACTATTGAAATAGTGTTTGATGTATAGAGAGGACAGTGCCATCGATAGCGAACCGGTCAATTGGGACAGACATGTCTTCCAGCGGGCAATCTTTTCGGTAATACCATAGAGATGTCGATGAAGATTGTCTTTCATGTCGCGCATCTCTTTGCTGCCGGTAGACAGTGCCTGTAGGGCTACCCTCCAGAGCATATAGTTTGCCATAAGTCTATGGGGGGTGTAAGTGATCAGCAAAAAACAACATCAATTACCGTACATCCCTAATGGTCCTAACATCCCCTCCCTCTCTCCAAAATACATACCGTTTCTCATGTTTGTTAACATAGCTGATAATATAGTCGACATGTCCCATATAGGACAGATTGTCTACCATAACCACCTCTGTGTGCCCAATCGTTTCGTTCAGCTGTAGTACCGAATTGGCCAAACGTACCCAATCGTAGCCCATACGGGTCTGATTGGTGGCCAATACTTGTGACTAATTTTATTGAAAAAAAACAAAACAAATAAGTGTTTGATTTTTATAAAAAAAATATTATTTTCAATTGACTACCACTACTTACCTGATTGGCCACATCGACGAACCCTTTTAGGTGTAGATACCAGCTCTGCTTTTTTTCGCCCTGTGCCGGATCATGGGTAGCCTATTATTACAATATAATGAGACAAAAATCTTATATCCAAAAAACAAGTAGATGGGGAACTGTATGTATGTGTGTGTGAATACCTCAGCGATTTGTGCCTCCAATGCCACCACATCCCACATCTCTTCATCGATTCGGGTCCTGTTCTGTGCGCCCATCAGTATGGCTGTGTCGACCATCAGCTGATGGTAGACTTTGACTACTGTATTATTGGGTCCCAGTGTCAATATTTGGCGCCGTAGTCCCAATGTTGCCTCATCTAACTGTTCACCCATCAATCAAATCAATCAATCAATTTATTATAATTATATTTTTTATATTTAAAAAAAAACTTACAAATAAAACTTTTTTGGTATTATTGAGCACATCGGCGATGACCTTAAACTGGACAAACATGTCGGCCCTGAAACCCAATTGCCGAATCTGTTCGGTAACCCGAATCCACTCGAAGGTCCCGTTATCCCATTTGTCGCCCGTGACCACTGGCCAGCCGCCCAAATCTTTTAGTAGGTCTCGCAATGGATCGGCGCCATAGTTTTCAATGGCAGCTAAAAATAAATGTTTTTTTATTGTTGAAATTTTTAATATTTGTAAACTTTTAAATTTTTTTTAATATACTATTACACTAGAATTTTTATACTAACAAATTTATTTTTTTAAAAAATGTACATGTTAATTATTATTATTTAAATTAATTAATTAATTAATTAAAACTTACATATGTTCATACATGACTTGTACATATTTCTCATTGTAACAATAGCTGGCATTGATTCATTGGATTTTTCAACTAGGTCTAATTATTTTTTTAAAAAAAATTTAATTTTATAAATATAATAATAATTAATATAATTGAATAAAATTAATAATATTGATTAGTATTAATTAGTATAAACTTAAATATAAATTCATTAGTTGATAGTAATTAAATATTTAAATTTAATTATAATTAATATCTATTTGTTTTAGTTTTATTTAATTTTATTAGTTAACTGGTATTATAGAAAACTGTAACAAAACAAATTATAAACAATATTATTAATATAAATAATTTTTTATATTATTTTATTATATTAGTTACATATGAAGGTCCTAAAAACTTATTAAATAATAAAAAATAATTTTAAATTTATAAAAAAAATTATTATTATATAATATAATTATATATTTTTCTTAGAGTTAATAACTCTAAAACATATATAATGTTTATTAGATAAATAAATCTAACCAAACAATTAAATTGACAATTAAATTGACTATTTATTATAAGTTATAATAATATATCGATAYAATAGACTAATGGGGTGGGGTGGGGTGGGATAGACACTAACCTTTTAGCTGTATGTCCAATCTTTCCCTGGACTGTTCAAATATGGACATATGGCCAGTTTCATCGGGAATGGTAGTCTTATGTATCCAACCACCGCAAGCAAACTTGTAAAAGTTATCGCATGGACTGACACTTTCGTCGATCAAATTAATTATGTCGGATGCTTTTTATTAAAAATAATTAATTAATTAATTAATTAATTAGCAATTAATTAATAATATTATATTTTAAAAAATTTGTTAATGATATAAAATTGGATTATAAATATATATATATATATATAACTAATAATGATTTTCTTTTTAATAATAAAATAATAATATAGTAATAAAAGTAATAAATTAAGTAATAAAATAAATTGATTTTTTGTTGTTATTATTGATCAATAATAACAGTATATAAACTTAGTTTAGTATAGTTTATGATTTAAAAAAAAATTTTTTTTGCTATATATTATAATCAATAAACAATTAAATTAACAATCAATTAGTTGTTTTTTAAAAAAATCAATTAATTAGTGATTTTTTTTTTGAATAATACAAAAAAACTAAATAATTAAATTATATTTTAGAAAATATTTAAATAATTAAAAAATAAATAATTTATATAACATACCGGCTCTCACACAGCCAGGCGTTAGGCATACTTTTGTTGTGGCATTTAATGAATCGGAGGAAACAAACATTGTATTGTCATAATTGAAGCCCACATTATTATTATCAATAATAGGAACGGTAGCCATATCGCATCCACTATGGCTACCGGTGCTATGACTACTACTATTATGATTGAGATCTATTATACCTTTGCCGGTGAAGGCCCGGCTGATCACTATAATCATCAATGCAATCAACGATGAACACAGTATGAACACAATGATGACCACCAGTAGTAGGAGTTTCTCGAAACGGGTCCTAAACTTCCAGAACGATTCGTTTTCCGGATAGAGTGCCGAAGCAAAGTTGGCCGACGGATTCACTTCCATACCGGTACTGCTCTCCATTTGATTGACTTTTTTTTATAGATAGACAGTGAGGACAGTCAAGGCAGGACAGGGCAGTCAAGGACAGTTAGCCAGAGACAGACACGGTAGGGGTTGGCTAACTAATGATTGAATCTATCTTGATTGAATTTTGGCTATGTGTGGCTACTATTAGCTTGGTTGTACCACTGTGTGTGTGTTGTTTAGCATAGGTAGATCATCCACATTGGTGGGTAGTCGTGATGATGATGATGATGATTACCATAGATCACAATGATATTAGGGACAGTTATGTTGGGAGGGGGAGGAGAAAACAGAAAATAATTAATATTATTGATTATTTTTTTATATCTAGAGTATATAAAGTATATAAATAATTATAATAAATAATAAGTGTTAATAATATACTGTATAATACAGTATAGATATATATATAGATTATTAATTAATTTTTTGTTTTATTTATCAAATAATAAAAAACTAATTTATTAATATTCAAACAATGGATAAAATAATTTAATTAATTACTTTAATATTATCGGACAACGAAAGTATATTTATATAATAATATTATTTAAGATAAACATTATATACATGTATATACAGTATATGATTAGAAAAAAAACAATATATAAATGTTTATCATATGCTAGACTGTATAAAAAAATAAATTATTATAACTTTCACTTAATCTTATGGAAACACAAAAAAATAATTTATATTAATAAACAATTATTAATATTAATAATATTACAATATTTCTAATAAATATTAGTGGTCTCATACATACATACATACATACAGTAGACATATAATACTTATATATAAATTTATATTAATAATAAATACAAGTAATATGGATATTGATTATATTTTAATATATTTATTATTATTATTATAAATTAATACCATAATTTACAGTAACATAAAAAAATTGCTAAAATTTTATAAACAAAATATGACAATTATTTTTACTAAAGAGCAAACTGTGAAAATAATTATATATATATATATATATTACATTATTTTCATATATATATTATATATATTTTAAACTAAACAAAATAGTTTGTTTATATTAGCAAAATGAAAATTTTTAAACATACAATATATACATACAGTATATATATATATATATATATATATATATATATATATATATATAATATTCATACACTATGTGCTTAAATATGATATATATATATATAATATTATAGATAATCAATTATTATAATTTTCTATAATAATAATTATTATTATTATAACCATAAGTATTTAATAGCAATATTATTATTACTATTATTGTTTGACAAAAATGTGAAAAAAACCTTATATGTATTGATAATATCGGATATTTTACGCCAAAACTAAACTAAAAATGCTAACATAAACAGTATATACTGTATATATAACAGTATTGTACATACAATATATATATACTGTATATATAAGCAGAAAATGTTGTTACATAAAATAAATTGGTTAAAAATAAAACGAAAATTTGTTAAACAAAAATAAACACAATTTTTTTTGTATATATATAGTAGTATAATACAGTAGTATAAATATATATATATATAAAGACTAATATCATTATGTAACGTATCATTTAAATAATAATAATAAAACAAAATAATAATAATAAATAATTATATTATAGTATAAACAATAAGACAACAACTTTTACTAATAGTATTATTTTTGTTGTTGTTGTAAAAAACAAAATTATAAAATAGACTTTAAATATTTGAAAACATTATTAAACTATAGTATATTTTAAGATAATTTTAAATCAATTACTCTCTATTAAAAAAACTAGTATTTAAAATAGTAAAAAAACATAAATAAAGTATAATACATATAAATTACCTTTAATTTTATTTTTAAGTCAATCTCTAGTTTATAACGTATTAGCAAAATTATGATTGATTTTTCACTGATTTAAAAAAATAGACAATTATTTTTCACAACAATAAAAAAATTTTAATTTCAATTTGACATCACATTTATATATATATATATATATATATATATATATGAAATTTACAATATATACACAAAACTTATATTAGTAATATAGTAATAATAATAATAATTAATTATTATTAATAAACATATAAATAATTTTTTTCATAAAAAAAATCTAAACTTATATACCTTTTTCTATTAAATGTGCGAAAGTATTATATAATATAAATTTTTTGTTGACGATTGTTACTGACTATACTCGGTGTCGGTATGTTTTTTTCCAGTGCCCAATGATAGGCATGGTTTAGCTTTTTTTGTATGTACTGTATGTGTGTATACTATATACAAACAACAATAGGACAATACCTACTAATCAAACTTTCAACAACAAAAACAACAACAACACAAATACATCACTTTCCCCACAAAAATAAATAACCGGTAATTTCCTAAATTAAAAAAAAAATTTCCACAAAAAAATTAAATAATTAATTAACACTTTATTTTGTAAAAAAAATCACAATTTTTTTTATAAAAATTTATATAATGAATATATTCTATATATATATATATATATATATATATATATATATATATAATATTATAGTAATATTCCTTATATATTATTATTATTATTATTTATATGTTTATGTATATGTAAGTACTGTTATAATATTATCACCAAAATATACTGTAAAATACAACTATAATATATATATATATATATATTTCTCTATATTATCAACCAATACTTCCTCCCCCCTCCTAAATACTTTTCCCCTCCCAATACTATACACAGTAATGTATGTTACATATGCTGCTGCTGTTGTCATAGAAATATAAAAGTTAATAATATTATGTAATAATAATAATGAATATAATAAAGTAAAAGTAAAATCTATTTTTTTATTTAGATTTTTATTTTTTGTAGTTGTAATGAAAAAATACATTCAACACAACAAAAATCAATTCACACTATAGGGATATTTGTTTTTTTAATACAAATATAATAATAATAATAATAGATATTATATTTAGATATCGATTATTATTATTATTATTCTATATTTTTAGTTTAAATATATTTTATTTTTAAATAGTAGTAACAATAATAATAATAAATATTACTATTAGAAATAAATAATAATAATAATTTTTTATGTAATAGATATGATAAAAATATATGCAGTATAATATTGTAACAAATATATGATAATTAAATATTTGTATATATTTTTTAAAAAAAACATTATTAGTAAATATTGATTATTTGAAAAAAATATATATAAATGATATATTGTTATCCAAAACTATCCTGTCATCAATTATTTATTATTATTATTTTTTTAAAAAATAAATAAATAAAACATAAATAAATGAAATTTTTTATTTATAAATAAAGCAAAAATTATAGTTAAAATTTATAATAATTTTGTTGTTGTTGGATAGTAGACAACAACGCCTTAGGCTAACTGTGTCATTGAGATGATAAATATATAGTAATAGTTTTTTTTGTTGGAAATTTTTTTCAAAAATTATTACTAGTAATGTTTAGTTATGGGATTTTTAAATGTATATTTTATATATATATATATATATATATTGTATAATACTATTCAATATATATATATAACTTATTATCTATATTTTTGGTATAAATATTTTTCCCTTTATTTCTAAAAATATAAATCATATAATCAGTATATACTGTATATAAATATTATTGTAACAAACAATCAAAAAATATATAATAAACTATTGGTCATAACTATTCAATTGTTTTTAATGTATTATCAGATATAATATATATACAGTGAGGGGACCCAAAATTGTAACGATTTTAATTAATGATTTAAGTAACTTATGAAAATATTTTATAAACCAAATGTTTTTAATATGATAGCCCATATACTTGACAACGAGTCTGTACCGTTTTTTTCAATGAAAATAATTTTTTTAATGAATTATTAGCGTAAACTCTTCAACTCATTTTGTATAGCTTTCCAGAGCACTGATATTACTTAATAAGCCTATATATGTAAACCATTTTATTTTAATTTTTCGGGTAAATAAGTAAATATTTTTATATATTTATGACAAACAAACAGTTAAATATTAAAATAAATTGATTTTAAATTTAAGCTTAACTTTAATTAATTCTAATACCATGATTGAAAACGACCATAAAATATGAAATTTTGTTGATTCTTTACATGACAACCGCGCAGTTTAATGAGTGAAACATAGATTTTAGTAAACTTTTTTATTATTTTTTGTTTTAAATATCAATACACTACTGATATATGCTTCAATTTTGCATACTTTTATTTAGTCAAATATTTTACAATTTTTTATATATCATCATATATGAAAACATTGACTGGAAAGGTATAGGATGTACTCATCAACGTCTGATGGCTATAATATTTTCAAAGACATTTTTACACCAATAAATTAGATATCATAATAAACTTAAAGCATTGCTTTACTGTTTTATAAAATAATTTTGAACATTATTTCTATAACTTTTTCAAAAATTGCTAACAAAGTCGTTACAATTTTGGGTCCCCTCACTGTATATATATATATATCTTTATCCACAAAATTATATAACTATGTCATATAATATTATTTTTTGTCTATATATATATACTGAAAATTTTATATATACCTCATATAACTAAAAATTAATATCTAAATTATAATCACAATAAATAACAAAAACAAAAAATTTTGTCAGTATTATTGTTAATTATTTTGTTAAAAAATTTTTTTTTAAAAATATTAATTAAAATATATATATAATTTTTATGTTATCTTCAAAATATATATATATAATTTTAATTTCCTATGTTTCATAAATCACACCAACAAATAAATAAAAAACATTGTTTATTAATAATAGTATTGTATTTTATTTTTWAAAAAAAGTTTTATTTTTGTGGACAATGACAACAACACATTGTTACTGGTATTTAACATAAACAACAATCTAGTGATGTCTATACAGATAATATTGTATATATATATAATAATTATTAATTATTATTATAAAAATAGATTTTTTAAATTATAATTAATATTTATATTTTTTAGAAAAAATATTTTTTTAATATGTATATATTTAAAAAAAACTTTGTATTAATTTTTTGTTGTATAAAAAATTAATATTAATATATACAATTTTTAAAAAATATATACAAGCTACATTACAGGCAATTGAAATTTACATATAATTACTAATTAGTATATTAATAGTAAAAAATAATAATGTTACATCAATTTAACAAAAAAAAAATATGTTAAACAGTGTTTTTTCATTTATATTAATTTATTTATTATATATGTGTGTGTATTTAAATTGATTTTTTGTTTCATATGTTTTATTTTGTTTGTTTGTTAGATATCGTGTCAATTAACAGTACTTTTTTTAGTTTTGTTTGTTTGTTTGCCAGTAATATAATATAGTAGACATAAACTTTGTATAAACAAGTATTGCAATAGTATTGTGAATTATCTCTCTTTTCTCTCTCTCTCTCTCTCTCTCTCTCTCTCTCTCTCTCTCTCTATCTATCTATCTATCTATCTATTATACAATACTAGTAAACATTTATCTATATATCAGTTTTTAGTTAATCGATAAAATGCCATACGATATATATACAAACAAACAAATAATATATGAAATTCTAGTATTATTATTATTATTATTATCTCTAAATACGATAGTTTTGTATAATCAGTAAATTATTATGTCATATACTATATACTGTATATGTATCATATATAATATAATGCAAGTGTTTAAAAAAATTGAGATACATAATATCATATATCATATACTGTATATAAACAGTTATATAATAATCAATGACACTGATCAAATTGTTAGGACATACACACACACATATATATATATATACAAATAGACAGATAGGTTTAGAGATTAGAGAGCACCGGGTGTTATCTGATATACACCGGTATATTATGTCAAATCAATTGACAATTAGGTCGACAACAAATGTGAAACAAATATATTGTATATTATTATATAATACAGTATATAATATCATACGAAATGCATTTAAACATTTAACAATCGCATAATAACGTGATATATTAACAATACATTTATTGATTTGATTATCAAAAGTGATTTTTTTAGATTATTTTTTTGTGAAAATAAAAACACAATACATTTTTTAATTGAAATCAACATTATTGAGATCAACAATTATAATAACTTATGTATTGTTTTATTAGATATTATCTATAGATAAAATGTGTACAAAAAATAATTATTTTAAATTTTTATTATAAACTAACATAAATTTATTTCAAAAAAAAAGATTATAATTATGATTTCTAATATAAAAAAATATAAATAAAATCTTATATATAGTATTAATATTAATATTTTTTTCAAAATAACTTACCAATTGTTAAAAAAATGTTTTAAAAATTTACAATATTTTGCTGCATTTATGTCCTAAAAAAAATTATTATTTTTAATCAAAAATTATTTATTATTATTATTATTTTATACACACAAATCTATACTACTGTATAAATAACAAACTATTATATAATTAAAATATTAATAATATAAACTTTTATATATAATTATTATTGTTGTTGAAAATAAATTATTGTTATTGAACCAGATATTTGCACATCAAATGTTAATTTATAAAATAATAATAATATTACAGTAGATTATTAAATAAATAAAAAATTTATTTATTTATTTATTTAGCAACAGTAGTAGTAATACAACATTATATTATATATTATAATTAAACCAAAAAATAAAAAAATAATTTATATTAAATTTTATTTATTTTTTTTATTAATACTTTCACATTATTATATAGATTACATCACATTATTGTAGATTAAAAAATAAAATTCATATAAAAACAACATTATTATTATTATTATTATTATACTTATATAAATAATTAGTTATTATTTATAAATTAATTAACGGTAATTATAATTAAATAATTACATCATATTTTTTTGGTGAGGGGGTTAAAGAAAAACAAAATTTAAAATTAAATTAATATTATTATATAATTAATTAAATTAATTTAAAATAAATACAATTAAACATTTTTTTACTGTAAACTGTATGTATTACATAAAAACTTAAAACTAATAAAAAAATTTAACTAATATTTATTAGCAATCATATAACACATATATAAAAAAATATTTCAACCAACAAAAAAAACATACTGTGCCTTACTCTCCCTCTTTCAAATGGGATTTGAAAACTCTCACTACTCTACTTGTGTGAGTAGTTTAGTAGTACTGTACTGACTGACTACCAGTGCTAAGAGATAGGGTGGTCCTATTGGTTCGGTTTCAATTGAATGAACATCTCTTATTTAAATTTTACTATATTTATCTATATATATATGTATATGTATACTGTACTGTTTGTATATATATATATTATACTATATATAACTTATTACATATTATATATATGTGTGTACAGTATAACAACTAACATATTTATTATACCTGTATATACAGTATATATATAAGCCTGATTGATACAAGTGCTGTAAATTATCATATATGAAAACTAGTTAACTAATTATATATATATGTATATATTTTTGTATAAATATGTATATGTGTTTGTATATGACATATACTATATGCGTTTGTGTATGTTTGTATGTATGTATGTATGTGTGTGTGTGTGTGTGTGTGTGTGTGTGTGTGTGTGTGTGTGTGTGTGTGTGTGTGTGTGTAAAATTTAAATATTTAAAGTGAAATCTTAAAAAAATATTGCAAATAATAAAAAAGAAAATATTATTTTTTTTATATATATACAGTATATATATAAAAGATAATTCAACTAAAATAACCATGGTTATTAATAAGCTTATTATTATTACTAATTTTAAAAATAAATATATATATGTATTTAACTTTGCGTCTAGTATATCACGTTATATATTTTTTTATCATAATAAACTTTTTTTTTACAAAAAAAAAATATTTCAATATTCAATGTTCAGTATATTACGTTAAATCATTAATATAAATATCTATATATTTATACAGTATATATGAATTATGATAATAATCTTATAAAATTCAAATTAATATTTATGTCATATTTGTTACTCATGTGTGTTGTAATAGTAATATCGTTAGTAAAAGTGTATTAGTATATACTGTATACTATAAAATGTTGTATAATTAATCAAGGTTAGATTGTTTCTATATTTATATATAAAATAAGTATTATATATATTTGAAAATCTTTTATTTTTTGATGTATATATTTAATACTAGTCTAATATATATATATACAGTATATTAGATAAATATGTCTGTATTTACTATTACATTATTTTATATATAGATTATATATCAATTATATTAGCAATTATTTCCATATAAAATATATTATATATATATATAATTATTAATAATAATAATCCTATTGCTAAATATACTTTTTTTTAATAAAAAATTAGATTTATTAAATCATGCAAAATAAATATTTTCATATTTATCTTAAAATGTTGTAATTGAAAAAAATACAATTTATATATATATATAAATAATAATTGTGTATCATCACTATTATTAGTTTTTTGATATTATTTGAAAAAAATGTTTATTATAAAGTAATTGGTTTAGGAAAATAAAAAAATAATAATAAATTAAACAAACAATAAAGTTTTAATAATATACATATAATTTATATTATCAATGATGATAATAATTATGAATAATATAGTAATAATTCAAAAAATAAGTTTTACACAATATAATCAAAAAACATTTTTGTTTTGTTTAATTAGCGTTAAAAATGATTTTAAAATTTTTTAATTACCAGTTAATTAACATAAAGATATTTCAATGAAAAAACAAAATAATTAAATAGTATTTACAGATATTAAATACTAATATCTGTTGTGATGTGATTTGAATTTAATGTATTTTAAATATAAAAATTTATAATTATTATTAACTATAAAAAAATAATAATAATAGTATCCAGGCCTTTTTTATTTATTTAAATTGAATAGACATTATTGATGAGATATATATATAATAATTACATATATATATATATATATATATATATATATATATATATATACTTTTATGATATAATTATTGTATATTAATAAAATAGTATTTAATATAATTGTATTTAATATTTATTTAAATAATTTTTTTTTAAATAATCATTTAAAGAAAAAGGGGTTTCCCATAGCCTTGTATTAAAAAAAATAAATAAATATTTAATACAAAAATCATTTATCGACAAAAAATACTATTAAATTATATATATAAATTAAATATATATCTCACATAAATCACAATAATTTTTAATTATGTTTAACTATAGTATAGTTGTAATATATAAAATTATTAGTGATTTATTATGTGATAACAAAAAAAATAATTTTAAATAATTTATACAGGATAAAACTAGTTGTAAAACTAGTCAACATTAATGTATTAATAATTTATTTTATTAGACAATATATATATATATTTATATATTTAAATTACAAATTGTCATAAATAATTTTTAATTAATATTTTATGTATATATATAAGTAATGTGTGTATGTGTGTGTGTATGTATGTGTATTTATGTATGTATATATATGTGTGTGTGTATGAGTGTGTGTATGTGTGTGTGTGTGTGTGTGTGTGTATGTATGTATGTGTGTGTGTGTGTATGTGTGTGTGTGTGTGTGTGTGTGTGTGTTATTTTATATATACAATAAATGTTAATTATTTTTATTTTTAAAAACTTTATTATAACATGTTTTGAGGTTTTTATAATTGAGATAATAATAAGTAATAATATATCATCAAAAAATAAATAATAATAAATACTTTCTCTCTAAATATATCTAATATTTATTGATTTTTTTATATTATTTCCTATTTTTAAAAAACTCTATAAATATATTATTATTATTATTATTATATACATATATAGTATTGTATTTATTTATTTATATATATATAGTATTTAATTTATAATTTGCACAAATAAAACAATATATTAGTGTTGATAATCGTAAGACAATTGTTGAAAAATAACTTTATTTTAAGCATATTATTATTGTTATTGTTATTATCATTATTACTATATTATTATTATTATTATTATTATCAGTATTAGTATTGTTGTGTTTATTATTATTTATAATTTTAAATACAACAATCATCATCACACATATAAACAGTTTATATATAATATATATAAATATATTTATATTTTATATATAATTTATATATATATAAATTTATATAAGTTATTGAACTTGGATGAACCTATTTTTATATAATTATTTTATCATTAAGTGTATACCACACACACATATATTATATATATATATATAAATATTATAAATATATTTATATATATGTTATTAAACTAAAACATCTTTATCAGGCATAATAATAATTAGTATATAATCATATTTATTATTATTATTGTTATTATTAGTTTGATTATAGTTATTATTATTAATCCATTTAATTATATATATATATATATATTATAAATAATATTAAATAAGTAGTTTTTTATTCAATAATAAAGAAAACTGTATAATAATAAATGTTAATAATTTTTCATTGTATAACTCTTACAAAATATTATTATTCAACAATTTTTTTTATTAAATAAATATAATAAAAAATAAAATATATTTTTTTACAACTATTTATAAATCTAATAATATTTATACTGTAAATATAGTATTCAATTATTTAAAATAGTTTATCAAAAGTGTGTATACAAATTCAGTATTATTATTATTATTTATTTATTTCAAAAAAAATAAAAATAAAATTTAAATTTATTTATGCTAAATTATATAATATATATATATATAATTAACAATTCAATTTATTAAAATATTTCTATTGTATTTAAATTTTTAAATTTCCTTAAATAACATATATCATATTTATGTTTATTGATAATAATAATAATATTAATTTTATATAAATCATTCAATATAAAAATTAACATTAACAATAACAATATATTATTTTAAATATTTTATAGATAAAAACCACTACTACTACTAATACTCTTATCAATAATAATTTTTATTTAATAAAATATAATTTTTTTAAAAAATAATTATTAATAATTAAACTTACTTATAAACTATTACTTATTAAAAAAAATATTGAATATTGTATTTTAATTTGTCAAAAAATAATTTATCATCCTTGATTATTTAATTATTGATAACACATTTTAAATAATAATAATAATAATTAAAAAATTTAATACATGATGTAATGTTATCTATATTTAGCGCTTACATGACTTTTAATAGACAATTAACGGAAATACTTTTTTTTTTTTGATATAATTTTCATTCAAATTTGAATAATTAAATAATAATCAAAAACAAAATTGTTTTTAAAAAAACGATTTTATAATCGAAAAACAATAATATTAATAATAAGTTAT